CGGGCGGGTCAGGAGAGGTCTGCCACGCCATGTGGTCACCTCCAGGGCAGGCGGGGATCGAACTCATGCGGAAGCGGCTTTAGCTTCTCAGTGCTGTGCTTTGACCCGCTGCGCCACCAGGGAGGGCCCCACCTTTCACATTTTTGTCAGTGCCACCAAGAACAATTTTAGTTGCTTGCTTTTGCTTTTCTATGGTCAGAGCTGTCCTGGAGGACTCTCGTATCAAGGACACGTCACTGCCCCAAGCCTTCCCTGCACCCGTTTGTCCACTGACCACTTCCCCCCTCGCCTCCAGTCAGTACTTGAGGAGGAAGCAAGGAGCCACGCTAGTCCAGCTCCCGGGAGAGGCTGCACCGGCCAGTGAAGGGGCAGGCCCAGACGGCCGTGGGAGGCCAGGCCGTGGGGCCAAGCACGGCGTCCGCCATGAGACGCTGCACTTTCCCTCTCACCTGGCACCAGGTATCTGCCTGCCTGGCTCGCTGGAGTAAGTTACCAGCACTCAGGCCAGTGGGGTGTGCCAGGCCGGGCTCGGGGGACGAAGAGCTGACGGCCTGGCCACACAGCAGCCCTGCTGAGGCGGCCCCTCCAGACACGCCTGTTTGCAGGACGAGTGGACGTAGCCAGTCACTCTCTATCCAGAGACGCGGGCGGAACAGCTGGCTGCCCGTGCCGGCAACAGCCCGACGGGTGGCTTAAACTCTGAACGCCGGCATCTGGCTGGAGTGGGCTCCTGAGAAGTGCTGCCTCCCCCCAGCAGCCGGGCCTTGAGCAGGAGGGACAGCGCCGCCACCCCCCCTCCCGCACCCCTCCAGGAGTCGGCCTCCTTCCTGGGAAAGTGACTGAGCTACGACGTAGCCGTCGAGGGCTTGGGTGCACTAAACATCGTTTTGCTTCCAGTCCGTGCCCAAGAGCCTCTCAGAGGCCTAACACGAGGACTTACCGTACCCACACGGTCACACGTTTGTTTTAATAATGAGCGTTGACAAAGGAGTGTGGAAACTCCCGGCGCCCCCCAGTGCTGACGGGGCCTGGTCAGGGCCCAGCCTGGTTTCGTTTGTAGGTCAGGACGGAGCCCCAGAGCCCAGTGGCCTGGGGACAGAGCTGCCGCCTGAGCCAATGGTGCCCTCAGCAGGAAGGCTGTGTGGCCCCGGGGCCTCCGGCAGCACAGCCCTCAGGCAGAGGGATCCAGACCTCAAGGTCTCTCCACGCGGGTGGACTTGGGGTGCGCCCCCACCTTCCCCAGCGGCTTCGCTGCAGTCTCGAGTGGGGCTTCTCATGAGTGGGCGGCTGGCCTCCGCCCCGCTGTCCGGGCTCACCACGGCAGGTGGGACCCTGAGGCAGCCGCTGCGTCTTCCCTGGTGGCAGGACTGGGAGCCTCCAGCCAGCTGCAGCCTGGGGGGCTGGCTAGGATAGGAGGCCGCCCTGTGGGGAGGGGAGGCCGCCCTGGGGGGCCAGGCCCTCTGGCTCCAGGCTGCCCAAAGCCAGTGGCAGCGGAGGGCTCCCCCCAGGGAGGGGCAGGACCTGGGGCCTCCCTGGGGCACCTCCTGCACCAAGTGTGGCCGCTTCATCCTCTCAGCCTCCTCAGCACCCCATCCTGCAGAGATGGTCTTGCCCCATGCTGGCCTGGGGCTCTGTCTAGGGGGCAGGCAGGTGCTGGCAAGCCCCCCAGGGCTGCTTCCCACAGGATGGGGCGCCTCTCCCAAGGAAATGGAATTCTGTGGTTATTCCCAGAAAAGCAGAGAATGGATGTTTGGGGCGGAGAGTGGATAACCACAGCAGGCACCGCCTCGGGCAGCTTCCTGGCCCAGACGGGCCACACATCCTCCCACTCACCAGCCGCGGCCTGACCGGTGAGTCAAGTCCAGTGGTGGGGGACAGTTGAGCGATCACGAGTCAGGTGTTTGCCCTGGTCCAATCAGCCCCAGCTGACAAGAGGGGGCCTCGTAGCTATGGCGACAGAGGTATACCCTCAGGGAAGGGGAGCTGGCTGGGTACCCCAAACACCAGAGTTCAGGAGTCCGCAGAGCCAGAGCCTCTCTGAAGCCGAGTCCCATTTGCTCCCTTCCAGGGGGCAGGGGGGCTGGTCCTGAGGCTCCAGTGGGGACCCCCAGAAGCCAGCGGGCTCAGCTGGGGTCAAGCTCAAGACATGCTCACAGAGGGGGTGGGGGGCTCTGGAGACCAGAGCCTGGAGCCCACCACCACTCTGGGGCCAGACAGCTGCCACCACCCTTGGCTTGGGACCAAGAAGCCGAGTCAGGCCCAGGCGCCCTCCCAGCCAGACTGGAGTCAGACTCGCCCGCAGACCCCCAGGCAGCTCCTGGGCTAGCGACAGCCCTGGCCCGACCAGCCCAGGCCTGGTCCTCACTGCTGTCCAAGGGGGGGCCTCCGGGGTGGCCTGCCCAGGGCCCTACCAGCACAGAAGCTGGGCAACCTGATGGGGCTGGGCGGTGACTCCGTCTCCATCCCGCACCCCCTGCTCAAGCCCCCCCCCTCGAGGTCAGCCCAGAATGGAAGCCAGGCCTACCGGGAATGACCGTGCTGGCTCTCTGGGCCCTGTTTTCTGTCTGCGCGAGGGTTCGGGTACCCCGCAGCCACAGCAGTAGCAGTTTTGAGGCATCAGTGCAACCAAGGAGGGAAGCGGCCGCCTTCTCTCCCGCTCGGACCTCCTGAGGCCGCGGCGGCTGTGGGGGCTCCTGCCCGCTACCTCCTGGCTCGGCGGCGGCCTGGGCCTCGGCTTCTGAGCCCTCGCAGGTGCCTGCGACTGAGGTCCAGCGAGGGAGAGGAGCTGAGCCCGGGACCCACCCGGTCTGTGGGCTCCCCAGCAGCACACAGCAACTGGGTTCTGGGTCCAGGCATGTGGACCCTGCAGAGACCCCTCACCCGCACCACTCGCCAGGCTGCAGAAGGCCGGGGCCCAGGTGATTTCAGACCAGGTGCGGTGGCAGTAAGGTAAGTGAACCCCACACACACACACACTCGCCTCCTTGACCCCCCCAACACACACCCACACATACACTTCTCCAAACTGCTCCCGGGCCAGGTCAACCTCCAGCTCCACCCTGACCTTCAGCACGTGGCATCTGGAAGCCCCTGCTGGGGTCCGGCAGCCAGGGAACGGCCTTAGCTGCAGTGCCCAGCATCCCCCACGACCACAGGGCCCGGCTTCCCAGCAGGCTCTGGGGAGCAACCCAGCTTGTGAATAATCCTGTGAATCACCGGCTCGGAGGCCCTGGAGGCTAACGGCTCAGAGTGGCAGTGGGGGCAGGGCCAGCAAGCTCGGCTCAGGTCAGCAGGGCCACCGCTGCCGCGGCTCTCCGGAGGCCTGGGCAGAGAAAGGGCAGGGGAGGCCGTGGTGGCCAGCCGGGGAGCAGGGAGGACCAGGGTGTCTGGGCGAGCGTTCCTGCTGCGGGAAGGGGGCTTTTTCTCCATCTGCAACATTAGCTGTCCCGGCTCGCCCCGAAGGTGGGGCGCTTCCTGAGGAACCCAACAGGGTGGCAGGCCAAGGCCCTGGGTCTCGAGCTTGCTGTGTGGCCGCGGGCAGTCGGCCGCCCTCCGGCCCTCACCGGGAGGGCACCAGGGGAGGAAGAGCCCATCCAGGTGGGGCTGTGGCCAGGGTCCCCCTCTCCACAGGCTGAAAACCCGCTGGCCGCGGGCAGCCGTGAGAGGCTGCCATCCGCAGGTGCTGACACCCCTCCAGGTCCCGAAGCCCCGGACTTGCTTACACCACACCCAACTCTTTTTTTTAAAAAAGATTTATTTATTCATGCATACAGAACTGGGGTTCACGCAGAGGTGCAGGGGCAGTGAGAGGCTTCACCAGAGACAGAGTGGGGAGCACAACAGGCAGATCAATGAAGTACACTGCTGAGGGGAGCAGCGGGCGGGTCAGGAGAGGTCTGCAGCGCCGTGTGGTCACCCCCAGAGTGGGGATCGAACTCACACTGAAGTGGTTTTAGCTTCTCAGCGCTGTGCTCTAACAGCTGCGCCACTAGGGAGGGCCACACCCAGCTCTTCTAACCCGACCATCTGAAATGTGCACTTCAATGTTTTTCCATAGAATTGTACAACCATCGCCACAATTTTGGGGTATTTTCATCACTTCCCTCCCAAACCCCAAGCTCTCTAGCAGTTCCGCTCCGATGCGCCCTGGCCCAGGCGCCAGGGAGTTGACTTTCTGTCCCTCAGATGCTCCTCCTCTGGGCCTGGGGAGTGGACTTCAGATCTGCCTGCTCTGCTCCCCACTGTCTCTGGGGGATCCTCTCACCTCGCCCTACCCCTGGCCTGCACCCCAGTTCTTGTATGCATAAAGAAATAAAAAAAAAAAAAAAACAAGGGTGGAGATGGCAACATTTAAGTTGTATTTCACCATCATTAACGCTAAACTACACTAACACCAGGCCAGACATTTTTTTTTGTAAGTTTTTTTTAAAAAGATTTATGTATTTTTGCATACAAGAACTGAGCGTACAGGGCAGAGGTACAGGGGTGAGAGGATTCACCAGACTGAGTGGGGAGCAGAACAGAGATCGACGAAGAACACTGTTGAGGGGAGCAGCGGGGAGACCGGAGGGGTCTGCTGCGCCCTGGGGTCACTCCCTGGCCGTGGCTGGGACAGATTCGTACTGCTGCATCCTAGCCCCTTGAACTACCGGGGGGGACCCAGATTGAAATAGACATTTCTCTGGAAAATGTATGCTAACAGCCCAAAAGCCATGTGAAGATGCTTACACTGAACCAGCTGGTGATGCCCTGAAATGTTAGGGAAGCAAAGGGGAACCATTAAAAGCCCCCAAACCGGCTGGAGTGGGGAATGGGATCAAAAACAGTGGGGAGAGGGAAATGCACTGGGCTGTGGTGATGGCACACGGGTGATCTGGTGATGGGAAGCCCACGGGGATTGCCACTGAGATGGAAAAAGGCACAACATGATGGAAAAATAAACTATTATTAAAAACAAAATAAAACAAAAGCCCCCAAACCACAAGTATGTCTACAGTAAAAACAAAGTATCAAGAGCTGGTACACAGAGGAAGGAAGCCCTGTGCAGAGCTGGCGGAAGGCAGCCGGAATTCCTCAGTCAACATGAAGCCTCCAGAGGCTGCAGGACCCCACCTCTGAGTAATCAGCACCCAAAGGGGGAAAGTGGAGACTTGGGTACCCAGGTTCACAGCATCCAAAAGGCAGGAGCGACCCCAGTGTCCACTGATGGGTGAAAGGATAAATGGGAAGCATGTGTGTGAGAGATTCTTTTCCTTAAAACAGAAAGAAGTGGGCGCTCCCTGGCAGCGCAGCAGGCTAAAGCGCAGCACCATGGAGCTGTCCGCAGCCACAGCAGCATGAGTTCGATCCCCAGCCAGGGAACGACCCACAGGGCGCACAGACGGCTCCTGGCTCGCCCGCTGCTCCCCCCAGCAGTGTACTTCATCAGTCTACCTGTTCTGCTCCCCGCTCTGTCTCTGGTGAATCCTCTCACCCCCTGCATCTCTGGCCTGCACCCCAATTCTTGTATGCATAAATATAAATCTTTAAAAAGGCAGAAATGATTGATTTTATGTATCGAATTTGCATCTTTCTCGCTTTTGTTATCTCTAACAAAGCAGGCAGGGACTGTCCAGGTCACTCTGGCTGAAGCAATGGCTAAGGCCAGAGACCAGACCAGCTGCAAGGCAGTGGCTGACAGGGTCCAGGGTGAGGGTGAGGGTGGCTGGCCCAGGCCACCGCTGTGGGCCTAAGCAGGTGGACTCGAACCATGGGGCTGGAGTGAGGTGGGGGAAAGAGGGCGTGTCTAGGGGCGACCCTGGTGTGGGGCCTGGGCGGCATGTCCAGGGCTGGGGAGGAGGTGCGGCTTTGGCTCGGAAGAGGGATTTCGAAGAGACATGTGGGTGAGGCACACCCAGGTGACTGGACAAGCCCAAGGCCAATGCGGAAGGGCCAGACACAGGATGCTGACCGAGCAGCTGGGGAGAAAGGGCCACCCAGCTGCGGGGCACGCACAGAGGAGTGGGCGCCATGTCACGGGAGCCGGGGGGTTCCACGGGGCCCCAGGCTTCTAAAGTTAGGTTCCTAAGAGGTTACGGTGACTCTGCTGGGGGACCCCAGATTGCAGGGTTGGGCGTCCTGCAAGGGAAAGCAGCAGACCTGAGGCCTGGTGTCCGCAGGGCTGAGTGGACACTTTTCCATGGGGAACACTTGAAAAAAACGGCTGTGGGGTCTCTTCTCCCTCAGCACACCCCAACACGGCCATCCCATCCTACGGTGGGGGCAGACAGTCACCTAGGTAGCTCCTGGGGCACTGCAGGTCTGTGTGTGAAGGATTCCACCTTTCAGTGGGGCACTGACCTGACATGGCCCAGCAGGTAACGTGCTGTCCTAAGTGTGCTGCCCCGGGGGGCTGAAAAGGACCCCCTCAGCCCCTACAGATCTTCTTTAATGAGCAAGAGGTTCTCCAAAAAAAAAAAAAAGACATTCATTTATGATTACAAGAGCTAGAGCACAGGCCAGAGGCTGGGGGGTGCGGCGAGAGGACGCCCCGGAGACAGAACAGGCGGATCCACTGAAACACACTGCTGAGGGGAGCAGCGGGGAGGCAGGGGGATCTGCTGCGCCCTGGGGCCCCTCCCTGGCCGGGGATGGAGCTCGTGCTGCAGTGGCTGGTGACGGCTCCGCAGTGCTGAGACGCAACCACCTGCACCGCCAGGGAGGCCCCAGTGACTCGCTCTTCAGAGGCCACACCCCCTTGCCAACGGGCAGCAGCACAGCTCCCAGGCAGGCTCCAACAACCCCCAGACTCGTGGCTTCCTGAGGGTGGCAGTGGACCATGGAGTCCGCTGGGCACTGGCGGTGGGCACTGTTCTGAGCAGGCAGGCAGCGCTGGGCCAAGCTCCGCTTCGCCCGCATGCTGCCTCTTCAGGAGAAGAGGACGAGGCTGCAGTCAGACGACAGGCCGACGGGCCACCTCACGCTGAGCCGCACAGGCCGGGCCCGCGGGCTCCGAAGCTCAGTGGGATTGGCCGACACCTGTTTCCACCTGGGAAAGCCCTAGACCGTGGGGTGGTTGCTCACCAGGGGGTCTGAGCAGGCCCTGCTGGCTGCGGCCCCGGAGGCCCCTGAAGGGTGAGTGGGCTGACGTCGCGTGAGGCGGCCCTGCCCCAGCAGCAGCACCCAGGAGCTGCCAGCAGCTGACTTCGCACCCCCACGGACACGTAGGGCCTCGGGGCCCTCTGAGGCAGCGAGCTCAAGGCTGAGGGTCTTCCTCAGCCTCCCACTTCATTCTCCTCACCCCACAAGGCCATGCTCCGCCCTGACAGTCACTGGCTGGAAACAGGGCAGGTGGAGGGTTCACAAACGCCTCGGGCCCTAATGTTCACAGTTTTCAAGCTGAGGCTTCTCGGGGTAAATCACCACAGCGCCGTGCGGGAACAGCCAGATGCAGAGCCCTGGGGAGGCCTGCAGCACTCTGGGGCTGGCCACGGGCAGCGGCATGGACATGAGAGCAGGGCCAGTGGCCTTGGGGCAGCCTGACTGGGCTGTGGGAACTCACAGCTTCTCCTCGTAAGCTCACAGCGCAATAGGCTCGCCTGTAAGACAAGGCCTGCCCGCGTGACTGCCGGAAGCGTGTTCCTCGGGGCCTGCGGGGCCACCCCCAGCGCGAGGGGCACAGCCTGTCGCCCCGCGGCCGTGGCTGCCACGTCCTTGGAGGGCTGACTGGGAGGTGGCCCCCTTGGTGGGGACACGGTGAACGGCCACAACTGTCCACAGGGCAGCCTCCGGGGCTGAGTACCTGTCTGAGTTTCAACAGCAGCTGCCTCGGATCTGCTGATCCCAGAGCCACTCTAGAGGGCGGCGCCCATCAGTGGGAGCGAGTGGAGGGAGCGAGTGGGAGGTGCTGAACCAATGCAGTGAACGAGGAGCAAGCGGAGACACGCACAGGCCAGGGCACCAGGCCCTCACGCGGCGCTTCTGGACAGAGTCTTTATTTTACAGTTGGCATCAGAGCGCGTTCACCCGCACATCGCCACAGGGGACCCCACGGCCACGTGTGCAGGATACTCTCGGCAGTCGTTAAAGACAACACTGACAACTTGTGCACCCCATCTCACCCGGAAAGCAAATGCTATTTACAGACCCGCACGCTCGTCCCCAAAGGAAACTTATTTCTGGATCAAATATGCCTGACTGTTGAGGTCAAATCCCATTTCTCTTCTGCACGAGCTGCTTAAGGCGTCAGGGTACCCCTTCTGAGGACAGGATTTCGGGATCCTTTTGTAAAAATGCCTAAATCTGAGGAGGGCTGGCTCTCTGCCCTGACGCGGCGGCCTGAGGCCCTGACCAGCTGCCAGCTGCTGTCCCGGGAGGGGCTGCGCCCTGTCCCACCTGGCCTCACAGACCCTGGCCCGGCTGCAGCCTTCCTGCCTCGGACTCCGGCCCGCTGCTCGCCCCCACCCGCGAGCGCTTCCCCCAGCACCCATCTTCCTCCCCCACCTCGGGCTGTGCAGGCCCGTGGCCCTGCCGTGAGCTGCAGATGCTCCCTGCAAATAACAGGCAGAGGGGGCAGAGGGGGCCTCACTGACCACGGGTGAGCGGACAGGCCGTCTCTGCCAGAACACTGGGAAACTGGGTTCAGAGCAGATCTTCTAGGCCATTTAGGACATTCCGGATAAGCACCTTTCTGACACACCGAGGGCTCCAACAAAGGTCTAACTTCCTCAGTGAAGAAACCATGAGCCCCCCCCCCAAGGGGAAAAAAGCAGGCCCTGGGCACCCTCACTCAGCAGATCCCCAACCTGCTCGGGGCTCAGGGGTAGCGTGGGCTCTGGGTGCCTGGGCGGTCCTGGGCACACGGCCCCGCAGCTCAGACTGAGGCTCTAAGCCCCGGACACAGGCGAGAAGGACACGCCACAGCTGGGGTGCTGACCAAACGAGCACCCGCACACCCTCCTGGCCATGGGAGCGGAGCCCCGAGAGGCCGCTCCACTCCCAGACCCTCGCTGTGCAGGGAGGGGCCGCACTCACTCACCCCTCGGGGGTTCTCCCGGCTCAGCACACCCCCCGCGGCTGGAGCGAGAGCTGCACCGGGCCACAGCCTCAGTGCTCCCAGCCCAACGCACCGCCGTGGACCACAGGCCTGGGCTGGGGGAGGGGCAGGCTGTGGACAGCAGAGCAGTGTGGGAGCGGAAATTGCACCACAGGCACCGGAAATGAGCTCAGGATGAGGCCTGGGAAGTTTATCTAAAGTGGTTTCTTGGAAGAAACTCAGGCTCTGACCTGAGAAAGCAGCTTTCACACCAGCAGCGTCTCCCTGCCAGAAGGGGCCACGCTCGCGTGACAGCGCCCGGCGCCGAACACTGGGCCACACCGAGGGACCCGGGCCTGGGCCGTCGGAGTCTCTGGCCACCGCTTGGAAGAGCAGGATGGAAAGATCAGCGGCTGTTCTTGTCTAAGAAGTCATTTTCTAGCAAACACACATGGGGGGCTCCTCGGAGGAGGCGCGGGGCCCTGAGCCAGCAGAAAGGGGCACTTGGGGGACCTAGAGCGCAGCTGTAACCCCATGACCACCACCGGCCACTGGAGGCCAGCACCCCATCCCCTGCGCCAGCTCTCGGGGTCAACCCTGGAGGCTGCATCCAGTGAGCCCTGACACTGCATCACGCCCAGGGGCTTGCTGGCTGTGGGGCCCTTGGCCACAGACCCCAAGTGGCGGTTCTGCAGCAGTAGCGCAGCCGTGGGCTGGCCACGCCGAGAGGAGACACCGGCGGAACGGCCTGGAGCTGCGAGGCTCCTAGCGGCCCCAAGAGCACGCGCTTTCTCTGCCTTGACTGGGTCTGGCGCTTCTCCGCCACCCGCCTGACCATAACCCGGCCTCAGCTGGGGCTTTGATTCCAACCCTGTCCGCGCTCGGCCACCAGCCACTGGGCGAGCAAGCCCAGGAGCTGGGGGTGGGGTGCGGAGAACCAGCCCCAGAGGAGCCCCACCTCCCAGGCCACCTGCGACACTCGGGTGGGGTGCGGCCGCCCACCTTCCTGCTCCTCACTCCTCCACTCCCACGCAATGACGACACCTCCGTGGAGACCCTCTCCAGGGCGGTCTCGTCCCGCCTCTGCCTTGCCCAGACCCTGCCCAAACCGCCATGGCCCTGGAGGAGCAGCTGCCGCTGGGAGCAGCAGAGTGGCCTGGGCTGGGGCGTAGAGCACAAGGCTGCTCTGGGCGCGGGGATGGGGTTCGTGCACAGGACAGCCCCTAAAAGCATCCCAATCCTCCCGGCAACCTCCCTCTCCTGCCTCCTAACTTAAAACACCCAGGGTGCATGGCCCTGCTCCCGGCAAGGGGAGGCATGGGGCCCTCCCTACAAGGTCTGCAGGGCGGCGGGCAGCAGCGGGCAGGTGAGGGCACGCCCACCCGCAGCGGCGGGCGCCGAGTGAGACGGCAGCGGAGGCAGAGCTAGAGTTCTCGGGAGAGACACTTCAGGTTCCCAAATGGCTTCAGAGGGGCACCCCAAACCCTGTGGTTTCCAACTGACCCTTCGAAGCCAGAGGGAAGAAAAGCACCGCTGACCCCCCTGCCCTCCCCCAGGAGGCCCGTCCCGCAGGTGCAGCTGCCTGGCAAGCCGGGGGACGCCGGGGCGGGGCCTCTCACCCAGGCACTGGAGGTCAGCCCCCGAGCCTCGGCCCCAACTGCGGTGTGTCTCAGGCCAGGGGCCAAGACACAGTGGGACGCCCCAGCCAGCCCACCTGGTCTCAAAGGCCCTGCTGTGCTCGCCCCACGAACCCACGTGGCCCGCCACAAGCGCCAGGACGGCCCTCCGGCGGCTCCTGGGTTCTGGCCGGGCCAGGAAGGCCTGGTGAGGACATCAACGTGTTTCTGAGACCTCCCTGTCCCGAGTGCACCCTGCCCGTCACGGCCACACTCCTGGGCCCGGGCCAGGTCGGCCTCCTTCCTCTCTAGCAAGCCCACCCAGCTCCAGGCCTCTCAACGCGGAGGGGTCCCCCCGCCTCTTCTGCCCCAGCTGCTCCCATGGGGCTGCTCCCCACGGGCATTCCCCCTGCTGCCCCTCTTGATTACCACAGTGGGCAGGCCAGGGAGCCCGGGAAAGGAGAACCGGCCTCTCTAGCCAGCCGGGGCCAGACACCTCCCGAGCTGGCACCTGCATGTCTGGACACCCAGCGGGCCAGAGCCAGGCGACCACTGTCCTCCTTGGGCCACGCCGTGTCCCGGGCGCCCGCCTCAAGGTGAAACTGCAGGCAAGACGGCGGCGAGACGCCGGCCCCCAGAGCTGTGTGTGCTGGTCACCCCAGCGGGGACGAGGTCTGGCGACAGGCAGGCCGGAACCCTGACGCTGGCTCTGTGCGCTGCAACTGGGTTTTGACGTTTTTCCTAAATGAACCGGCTTCCGTGCCCTCACGCCCCGTGCCCCTCAACGCCTGCCCGGGAGAGCGCGCCTCGCGCCGGGGCTGCTCAGACCCCCACCCGCGCCTGTCTGCGCTGCCGCGCGCCTGGGGTCCTGCGGACACCGAGAGTTCCCAATGAAAATAAAAAAGGAATATAAATTAAAAAGTCTTCCTTTTATCCTCCTTCCTCCCCACCGCACCCAGCTGAAGAATTCTAGCTGCCTCCTACCAGCCACAGATCCAGTTTCCGTGAGAGAGAGAGAAATGAGGTCTCCGTGGCACGTCACTCCCAGCCACGTGCCCAGCGGTGTCGCTGTCGGAAGTGCCACCGCGCTCCGCCACCAGCAGGACTATCAATAAGTTAAGTGTCGGCCTGGACAGCGCCGTCCCCGAGCCGCGCGTCACGCGGTGCCTTCCCAGCCGCCCTGGGGCTCCACCGAGCCGTTGGTCACCTTCTTGACTTTCTTCATGTTCTCCATCACGCCTGACGTCGTCACTCTGCACAGGGAGACACACAGACACCTCAGGCCTGGCGAAAGGCCGCCGGGGACACCGCAGCGCTCCGGAGGGGCAGAGCAGCTCTGGGGCCAGACGGCCTGGTGGGCGCCCCGCCGGCCGCGCCCTCTCCACGCCTCTGTGCCTGAGCCACACGCGCTTCAGACCTGCCCGGGAACGCGCTTCCTGGCCGGCCCTCAGCTGTCCCCTCAACGGCCGTCCGCCACGCCCCCTCAGGCCGCGCACGCGTAGGTCAGACGCGCACGAGAACAGCGTGTGTCACGACCCCCGGCCTGGGAAGGGTCAGCTGTAGACTTTCCCAGTAACCAGCAGAGTGGTCACTTCCGAGTCAGGGACAGACCCAGGCTTGAGGAACCTCCCGGGCCGGCTCGGAGACTCTCACCGCCAGAGGTGGCGCCAGGCCGGTCAGCGGGGGCTCGGCCCCCACCCTGCAGGGCCCTGCTCCTGCAGGTGCCTGGCACCGAGGGTGTGGCAGGGTCGGCCTCTGAGCACGGGACCTGGATGCGGAGCACGCCGCACCACTGGGGCTCCAGGGGCCGCGCAGTCCCCCCACCCCCAGCCCCCCAACTGGGCCAGCAGGCGCCTCCCGGCCGGTCAAGTCAGGTCAAGCCGCCAGCTCCATACTCTGCCAGGGCCCGTGCACGCACCCAATGCTCCTGCCAGTGGCCACTCAGAGTGGTAGGACACACCCGGAAGCCGTCCCGCACGGCCTAACGAAGGACTGGTGCAGGATGGACGCAAAACTGAGTGGCACCCTCGGGGTCCTGCGCCCAAGCTTGAAGTCACTGGGACAGAGGGGTGCTCGGGCGCCTGACCTGGCTGGGGCAGCGCTGCAGCCTGTCGCGGAAGACAGCGATGGAGGCGGGAGGGGCAGGCGGTGTCTGAGAGCAGCGGCACGGAAGGGAAACGCATTTCTCCAGGCACCCCTCTCCCGGCACCCTCTCCCGGCACCCCTCTCCCGGCACCCTCTCCCGGCACCCCTCTCCCGGCACCCTCTCCCGGCACCCCTCTCCC